AAAATGTCATTATGCATTGTACTGTGTGTGTGACCAATAAATCTGAATATTAATTTGACCCTCGTACATTTTATCTTTGGTGGCCAATTTATTGGTTTCCTGGACTCAGAGAAGTGACCATATTTTGAGAAGAGGGTGGAGCTAGCGGTTAGAATACAGAAAGGTATCAAGGTCAGTCAATGGCTCATTCATAAGCTGGTAAATGAGCTACTTTCAATTTTATTTGTGGTGCTGAGACAGCATTATCAGAGTAAACAGCATGCGACGAGAGCGAGCGTCAGCGTCAAAGTCAGCATGATTCTATTGTTTTCTATTGGAGTGTCCAAGCTGCCAGCGAGCGATGTACTGTAGCGCAACATTTTTACTCGGACGCCCCATTTATATTCCCTCTTTGTTGCTCGCTTTGATGTGGACGAGGAACTAGGAAGGAGGGGGCTCTGCACGGCACTGACACTCGCTTCTCTCACTCAACAGAACTCGTTAGCTTGTTGTACAAAGCTGAGATAACCGTGCATTAATAATATCCACATCGATGATTGAAATATTGACCTTTGACTTTTCGAGGGTATAATTTCCAGGTGTAGAGCTGCTGCTGCTGATGCCAGGCCACACCTTCTTTACACTGGTTAAGTTTCAGATGAACAACAAGCACTGGTGTGAAGCGCTCTGATACTGATACTGATACAGAACCTGATACTGAAAATCTAGGGCGGGGCTTTGGTCTGGTGAACTGGTGATTTGTAACCTTTAGATCCTTAAGGTGGTTTTTAGACCTTCTTTGTTTGTTGAACGAATGAACCAAGACCACTTCAACAACCTTTACATTTACCAACCAACAGAAGTACGATATGTTTACAGTGTAACTTCAAGCTTAGGGTTTTTTGCTGAGATCATTATTGGATCACAGTTGACAGTACATGCTCTATTGGTTACCACGGTGACGTGGCTGCAGAAGCTCTTGTTGTTTTTTTATGGCTGTCAAAGCATTATGATGTTAATAAAGTAAGGTCATGCTGTGAGGGGCCGCCAGGCTTTGGTGCACCGTGGGATTGATTGATGACTCTGTTGTCAGTTCAATCTAAGAAATGCATTTGAAGAGGGAGGGAGGAAGGGAGGGAGGAAAAGGGGGAGAACTAAATGGATTAGTTAAGAACAGAGAAAGGATGGAAGAAAGAAATTAAGTGACTCAGGAAGGCGGGCATAAAAAGAATTTGGAAATTAAGGGAAGCATGAAGGTAAGACGGAGATACAAGATAAGAGAAAATTAAAGATTTGTAATAGGGGAGTGACAAAAGCACAGACATACTCTTCAGATCTGCGTTTAGGGGGAAGGTAAAGGCTAAAAATAAAATTGCATAAAAAGGTCTAAGGAAGGAAGAAGGAAGTTCAGGAAAAGTGGGAGTGGGGCGTTTTCTGTGTGGAAAAAGTATGACAAAATACGAACCTTAAAACATGGAAATAACGGAGGAAGGGAGATGATGTTTTCTCCATCAGGCGCTGAGTTGAATTGATAAGGATGCACATGCTGCACGCGCATACACAACACCATGAATGAGTCTGTGAGGAAGCATAAGTGAGGATGTTTACGGCGAATCTCTGATTCATTAAAAGAGACAGAAAGGTGACAATAAATAACATAACTGAAAGCTGCTTGAGGATTGAAAACGAAAGTAAAGAGGTCTGTTGTTACCGTGGCGGATTGGTTAGTTGGCGGATTTTTATTCTCTCCCCTGAGAAATCACCGTCTATAAACTGACACACAGTCATACGACATGTGTGCACCTGTTGATTTGCACTGTTGATACGTGCAGGTGGGGGGAAAAGATTAGCATTTCAGGACTACACAGAGCTGCCAGCGCACACACACACACACACACACACACACACACACACACACACACACACACACACACACACACACACACACACACATACACACACACACACACACACACACACACACACACACATACACAGCACACAGAGCAGCACACGGGTACAGGTACACAGACAGCACACAAACACACTTCTATTGATTCGGTGTGGATGATGCTCCATTCAACAGCGTCACCCTGCTATTGATTCATAAGCATTGTATCCGCACAGATGGAACAGGTGCACCTCAAAATGAGAAGCAGAGGAACCAGCTGAGATCATCACAGGATGTTATCTTTACTGGGAAACATGGAAATCATCTCCATCTGTTAAGCCCTGAGTAAACTCGCTTTCAACCACACGGTTTGGTTTGGAGCATTGTTTGTGCACGCCCTTAGAAATTAAAGGGATACTTCACCAATTTGCATTAAGCTTTGTATCATTAGAAACCAGGTAGTATTTTTGAATGGTCGTGCATCTCGCCCTCATTCTCCCCTGAGACGTTTGTATTTCTGAGTCTGAAAAGGAGATACAACGGTAGTTCCTCATATTTTCGACCACTGAAGCTAAAGACCAATCACAGATCAGTGGGTGGGAACTCACTCCCAGAATCGAAACTTAATGTCCTCCATATTGCTTGGAAGCTATGCTAACAGGCTCTATGGAGAAAGATGATAATGGTGAACAAATATAAATATAGCGGTGAGATGGCTGCTGCCGACAGGCCGGTCTTGTGTTTTGGCTGCCGGGGACCCCAACCCTATGTACATTAAGTGGGGGATACTCTACAAGATAACCAGGCTGATTTTGGGCCCCATCCACGATTTCCGAGAAAGTTATCAAAGTCATGATTTTTTATGGTTCTAATATTATCTCACCAGATTTTCTTGTGGTGTGAGCTTCACTAAGAGTGATACGATCTTCTCCAAAGAACATCATGGCCTCACTGATTTCAAATCCAAAAATACTAAACATGTTCACTATCTACAATTTGATACCTTGTCTGCATGCACAATTTCAATAAGAGATTTCGCCAAAGTTGTTAGTTTTACACTTTACAGCTTTACTATGACACAGACAGCGACGGCAGTTTCAGAGCGCTTCTCACCAGTTGACTGACTGTGTTAAAAACAAATTAAAAAATCTGACGACAGTAAATGCACCTCTTCCCACTATTCATATCTTTGGCCCATAAAAACAAGTGTAAAGTAGTATATGTTTTCTTGGACATTGATGTGAATTTTCAGTAACATAGCTTAGTATGTGGCACAATAAGAAGTGTAAAATATTCATGTTTTTATCTTGGACCTTGATGTGAATTTAAAATTATTGATAAGCATTTGCTTATTGCAATTTCACACATGTATAAACAGTTAACAGCTAAGGTAATAAATGAAAGCAGTTTGATGCAAGTAGCTCTTGTTCACATTCATTTTTTCCAAGTAGCTCTCATGTGAAGAAAGGTTGGAGACCCTAGAGGAATCCTCCTGTAACACGCGTTGCACAAAAGCAAGTTTTTTTGTTCTGAGTCCACTGGTGAACAGTGAGCCCTTTGGACTTGTTTCATTTCCATGATGGGATATGAATTCATTGGAATGCATGCAGATCATGATCTACCAACAGGGAGTTGAATGCATGTGACTTGACGGTTGAAAAATGTTTGTTGAATATCAACTGACACACTGTTAATATGCATCGACATATCTACTGATAGCTTGTTGAGTGTCAACAGATGGAATATCAAAATAAAGTTTTACTAAAAGAAGTAAACTGGAAACGTTGGTCATTGTTCCCAGTGGTATATTTCCTGAGATTGCTGTTAATATAAGTCAGAATAATAGGAGACATAAAGTAAAAAGGATCAATATTATGTCAGGAAGGTGTACCAAAGTAATTAATTTAACAACAAGTTCACATAAAAGTTTTTGCAAAACTCGTCTGTCAGAAGTTCAGTTTGAAGGTATTATATAACTTCATATAAATAGATCAGTGAGTCTTTCTTTTTGTGTGCAACAGAAACCGACTTATGTGACAATACTGATTACAGTTTGAGTTCTTTGAAGACTCCAAACACTGAAAAACAAAGCAAAAACTTGAACAGGCCAAGTCTGCATTTCCTTTCTTTTCTGCCGGCACAGCAAAAGTCAGCGTTTTCTGTTTGCCATCAACCTTTGTTGGTATCATCATGTGAGACGTTATGGAGAAAAAGCATTGCAGGCGGGGGGGGGGGAGAAAAAACCAAGTCAGTGAGGTGTTAAGGTCATGCAGCCTCAGCGAATAAAGCCATAATGTGTGTGTCGGCGAGGGAGAGAGGCTGATAAAGTGAGAGAGGTGCAGCAGTGAGATAGGAAGTGAATTAGGGAGAGAGAAAAGTTGAGGTGGAGAGAGGAAAGTAATGAATGAGAGATGGAGCGAGATAGCAGTGCCTTGCAGCCAGTGTCCATATCTCCTGCCACCGATGACTCCTCCTGCTGCACTACAACTAATGGACTCTCTGCCCGTCTTATCTGCCCGCTCTTTCTCTCTCTCCATCCTCCCCGTCTCTCTCTCTCTCTCTCCCTATGCCGCTCTATCGGCCCACTTCACGACCGCTCCATCTCATTTTTATCGTGCTTTTCTCTTCTTCACTTCCCCCGCTGCTCTCTCACGCAGGCCTCTATCGCTCTCTCCTTTCTTTCTACGTATCGTTTTTTTCTTTCTATTTTTGGCTTTCTAATGTTGTTTCCATCTTTTCTGCCACCATGACCAAAACCTTGGAAAAAAAATTCCTCCTCTGCCTTATCTTATCTCTGCAATGTCAGAAAGTGGAGGAATGCAAAATGCTGTTTTTAATCTTTGTTTTTAGCTTTATCTCCTTAAATTCCACCCTCCTGAGTTTGTAAAAGAAGAAATAGAAAAATGTCTGGCGAGGAAAAGGAGAACTGTGAAGCTTTAAAATAACTTTCATTGACGAATGGTGGCAATTTTCATGACTCCAGTTTCCGTGTTCGGATTTCATGAACGTGACATCATAGGAAAGTTATTCCTCGACTTTTCACAAGATGTCAGCGAGAAGGATTACTCCATTCAATCCGTAAAAATGAGTGATTCTTATCTACATTCTCCATCTCTGTTTCACCTTTCAGATGACTCAGGAGCAGTACATCCTTGCGGCGCAGCCAAACCCGCTCCACCAGCGGGGGGCGTCGGTGTGCGGCACCCAGGTCTACCCCGCGGTGGGGATCTACGGCTGGAGGAAGAGATGCTTGTACTTCTTCATTCTCCTCCTCCTCGTCACCATGATCGTCAACCTGGCGCTGACCATCTGGATCCTCAAAGTCATGAACTTCACTCCGGTAAGAGACATGTGAGCGTGTGAGCGTGTGTGTGTGTGTGTGTGTGTGTGTGTGTATGTGTGTGTGTGTGAGCGTGTGTGGGCTTGTGAGCATGTTTCCGTGTGTGTGTGTGTGTGTGTGTGTGTGTGTGTGTGTGTGTGTGTGTGTGTCTGAGTCATATAAATGCCACAGTGTTATATGGGTTAGTGTCCATGTTGGAGTTTATAAGAGACAGCTATAAGATGGTTAAAAAGGTTTGTAGCACAACATGTGAAGGATGATAAAACCAACAGAGGTTTAACTGGGAAGAAGTGTGTGTGTGTGTGTGTGTGTGTGTTTATGGTTACACTTTTACACACCAAGCCTGCACGATTACAATATGAGATTTCTCCAAAGGTTTTAGTTTTACACTTTACCGCTTTACGATGACACAGACAGCGACGGCAGTTTCAGAGCGCTTCTCACCAGTGCTCATGCTGGTTGCTAGGTTACGAGAGTTAACTTCTGCTTCTCTCGGTAACGTCCATTAGGTGTGTTTTAGAGCGCTCTGTGTGCTTATTGTTTGCTTTAATTCTAAGAAACATCACCAAGAAAACATGAAGGTGATGTAAAGGAGTTGTGTCCAGACATCAGCAGCAGCTCTACACCTGGAAACTGTTCCCTCGAGTCAGACTAGTGTCTCCTCCACTGATGCCGACAAAGCTGTTATTGTAAGTCCCGCCCTGTTTCGATTTTGATTGGCCGGTGACAGTGTCAAAAAACATCTGTCGCTGAAGACCGCTGGTTTTGCATTGAAAACAAGCGTTGTCTGTGGATACAGCCACTTAAAGTGACACTATGCAACATAAATATCCCAAAGGAAAGCACTCCAACTGTTGACTCTGCAAACCGTCTGCTTCACTTAGCTTGCTCTGTCCAACTCAGAGGACAGACACACTGAAAGACAATCATCCCACAAAAAACTATTTGCTATTTTAGCATCGCAAGGAGAAGAGAGTGAATGTGGTTACAGACAGAGCCATGCTCTCTCCTTCTACATACTTTAAAATGTATATGCAGCATACTAACCTGACCGCAGTATGCTGTTAGCAACATACTCACATACATGTTACACAGAGTACTTCTTGATATAGATATAATTCAACAACAATATGCCAACGCTCATTGCTAATACAACAACGTAGTCATTTTTATTTTATTTGGCATTTCAGGAAGGACATTTTTTTAACCTGCTAGTTGACTGGATTTAATAATCTGAGAGCCGCAGTGCAGTGTGGGGCGGTTTAGTATGACTGGTATGCTCATTTTTCATACTCAAAAATTCTGTCTTGTCTCGTAAACACCGGGTATTCGTCACATCATCACAAAATCGCCTACTATGTCTTTGGATCTTTCTACGTACTCAATGTGACGTCACTCGTGAGAGCTGAGAAACTGGATGATGCCAGTTTGAAACTTGACGGTTGCCAAGCAACCCAAACATCCCCCTCACACAAGTTGCTGTGATTGTTGTGTGTTAGTCATGTGCACGCTATCAGTGATTGGTGGTTTGATTTAGAACTGATGAGATGTTTTATTTTTCAATAAATACAAAGCTCACAGACGCACATTAACTTATTTAGTTACATGTTAGCGACATGCTATCATAACAATGTCCTTTGTAATTGAAATCTAACATACTGTAGCTTTACAATTATTATTTTTTTTTATCCCACTGCCTTGTATGCTCCCTCTGTGCGGCTCTCTGTGAAACCCTGACTTCAGCGAAATCCTCCAAATATTCACCCGTCGTCTCAAAAAGCAGTTTTTATACATCGGCTCTGCGATGAAGCTGGCATGCTTCTCCATGCTCCGCTGCTCTTACTTTGGATTTTTTAAGTACGTCCTCATTTTTATTATGTTTTGTTATTGCTGTTCAACGCTGTGCCTTTTTTCTCCCCGCTTTGTAAGCAGCTTTTTCTGGAGAGCACTCAGAACACAGCGGCTCCGTGCTTTTAAGATGCCAAATTTGGATCATCGGAGTTGACCGACGGACAAAAAGAAAAGTTAGAGAAGCAGTAGAAATGCTAAGTAGTTCTTTGTTTTGACCTTAAATAAAGCGCTCATTTAAAAGACACTGAAGACGGGCTGAGAACATATTAAGTATTTATTAATCTGTAATGTATGCCTTATTTTGTATGTTTGCATTCTTGTTTCAATCGAGACTTTCAGGGCTCGTCATTCAGGGGTTACAGCACCCCTACATCTCATATCCCACAATGCCCTGGGGGGTTTGAGGAGCTGTGCTGTGATACTATATATGCAAATGAGGCAGAGTTTGACCCCCTGCAAACCTCTGGCAAAGCCTTCCCACATCACGCCTTATGTTTCAATAAGAGACTCCAGAATATCAGAGAGGTGGGGGGTGGAGGGGGGTTGGAGGGGGGGGGGGGGCTAAATATGCCCGAGGGCAGGCAGCCAGCACTGAGCATGGAAGAGCAGAAAATATTTTATAAGCCATATGATGTGTAGAAAACAGAAACCATGCAGGAGGAATTATAAAGACAGGGAGGAAGTTAAAAAAGTCATTTTGTTATTAATAATTAATTGTGATTATTCCGAGTTATGTGAAACAATGAGATCATAATCCACCACTAAGTCTCAGGACCATCCACTGTAACACCAGACTGATACTGCAAAAAAGTTACAACTGTATGGATTGCAGTTTGAAGAGTTAAGTGTGTATGCTAAATGCTGTTTGAAGAACTTAAAGGAGCAATATGTAACTCTGACCCCTAGTGTTTAAAATGGGTACTGCTGTCCAAATTCTAAACATTGTAGAGAGCTGTCTCCCTCCCGCCCCCTCCTCTCTAGAGTTGATGCTCACGCAGGTTGCCATGTGGTGGACCCTGAAGCTTCAGTGTTTAGCCAGCTCTGCATCGGTCTGTAAACCTTTCTGTGTTCTAACCTCTCTCCATTTTTCAAAAGCATCTCCAATATTGATCCTAGTTTGAGCACGTTTCTGCTCGTGGAGCTTATTAGAAACATGCAGAGGCTTTTCAGGTCGGGTACAATCACTTCTATCTGAACCAGTTCTCTTGCCCGCTTCCATCGCTGCAACACTTGTTGGTTTGACCTGATAACTGCTCTCATATCTGGCAAACCGAGGGGCGTCAGAAATCATGTCAAGGTGTTTTATAGCATGTATGACATGTCATAAAGGAGGCAAATGTTTGTGTAAACTGAGACTTATCACTGTTGTTTTATAGTCAGAATCAAAAAACCCAGATATAATATACTTTTGTTGAACTTTTGAACTCACTTCACACACACAAATACACGTGCGCACACACACACACACACACACACACACACACACACACACACACACACACACACACACACACACACAATGTGAGCTTCATTAAAATTTCACATCGCAACTGTATTTAGCATTTCAAAGAATGTTTACGTCTGTGTTCGAACGCATTAAGCTGAAAAATGGCCCGGACTAAAAACTGGAGAAAACATAAAAAGAGTGAGAATAAAGGAGTCCCAGAAAATAATCTGCATTTTACACCAGAGGTAATTCAGAAAGTCTTTGTGACGTGCATGTGTTTATATTCAAATCAGCAATTTGCATATTTTTTTAAATAAATTGCGAAAAAATAGTTTAAAGGTAACCCTGATCTTTTTTTTCTTTTTTTGGGGGGGGGGGGGTTTGGCATCACAAATTCCAAATTTAACTGATGAATTAGCATGTGCAACTTACAGTTTTTTCCAATCGCTAACACACTAAAATGACATGCATAGCACAGTTATGACTGACACACAGAGAGCAAAACCTCTTCTCAAGTCTCCAAAAGTCTAAACACATTTTCTGCTTTACACACATTTTGCAATTCAAAATGGCACTTTTTAAATGCACTGAACACGGTTCTCTGCATAAGACACCACAATCTGACATAAAGTCACATGTTTGCCATTTCAAAACACTGCCATTCAAAATGACACTACATGACAATACAATACTACAATTGGCCAATGTATGTGCCACCTGGCTAAACACCTCAATGGTTAATTGTTATCACTTCAATCAGGAAGTAAGCACTATAAAAAGACCACCAGTGAGCACCTTTTTTTTTTACAACAACAATGGAATACATTGCAGAGAGAGGAAGAGGAAGAGGGAGGGTGAGAATGAGAGGGGGAGGACGAGTGAGAGGTAAGGGTAGAGCTGGTAGAGGAGTTCATGGCCAAAGAAGACAACAACTTTCAAATGAAATCAGAGCAACCTTAGTTGATCATGTCATCAAGCATGGGCTGACAATGCGAGAGGCTGGACAGAGAGTGCAGCCCAACTTGAGCCGTTTTACTGTACTGGTATATGTAGCACTGACTTGTTCGGTGAAAAATAAAATAAATAATGTTTCAACAGCATGTGTGTGTATCTGCAAATATTTCTGTGCATGTGAACAATCTGAAGAATTTTCTGCAATTCGAATTTTAGTATTATGGCAAAGCATACTAAAGATGAGAGTGCTTTTTATTATGCCCAACAGTGTGTAGTTGGTTAGACAAAAATCTGGTAATATGAATGATGTGTGTGCCATTTGTTGCAAAGGTTTCATTTTGATAATGCTATATGTAGTTTTGGTTGCAGTGCTTCATTTTGCAGGATATATGAGGTATTTTCAGTTTGGGTGTGGGGTTTTGTGAATTGTGTGATATTCATAATATTCACTCATTGACTCAAAATATTCAATTGTATTTTGATAAAACCAGCCTAGTTTGCAAAATTGTGTTTTAGCAGTTGGAAAAAATTGTAAGGTCAATCAGAACTGTCTGTTAGGGTGTCTTCACATCAGAGCTCGATTTCTTCCCCCTCCCCCTCTCCCCCTCTCATCTGCGTTCACCTGAGTACATAAGATTACCCAAGAGCATAATGTACACAGTCTGATCCAGCAGGGGGCAGTATGCACATAGTTAGTTTGGACATCCACCAAGAAGCAGAAAGAAGAAGACGTAACCATGGCAACCAC